TCGCGTCAACCAAAGGCGCCTGTGTTTCGAGGTCCATGTGACGGAGCTGGCGCGACGTGCGAAGGTAAAATCGCTGTAAGAGATATACCGCCAAAAGCAGGAACGGCAGAGTGGCACTGGCGTAGCTCGATCCGGCCAGTATCAATGCCGCGCTGCCCAATACCATCGTAAGGCTCTCCGAAGCTTGCAAGATAGGACCGGCAGCAGCGCTCTCGATCAAAGTCATGTCATTGGAGAAGCGGTTCACGATCGACCCCAGATTCGTCTTGAAGAAGAACCAGTATGGAGCGTTCATTACGCTGTTCAAGATTCGTTGATGGAGGTTCGCTGATGAGTGAGGTACAGCCCAGACGAGGATGGTCCAGAACTTGGCAAAATCGAACAACAATGCGAGCAGCGCGAACGCAATATGCCAGCCGATCCAGTACCCTAGAGAGTGTCGCGATGCTTCTGCATCAGACCACCACCGAACCCAGATCTCCATAAACTTCCAGAAAAACCCTGCCAACAACGTTGCGGCTAGGAATAGAAGGGATAATCTCAATCCGAATGATCTGAACCAGTATGCATAGGTCGAGAGCTCTCCTGTCCGGCGTGCAGAGGGAGACTCCAGAGCATCGTCGGACTCGCCGACCGGATTCGTCAGAATCTGAACAGCATCATTTGGCTCTTCGGACGCATTGCCTGCGTTCTCTTCCCGAAGCTCGATGGTATGAAGAAAACTGTTCGGATTGTTTATCAGCTTCTCGAACGACCCTTGCTCAGCGATTCTACCGTCACTTCCCAAGACCAGTATCCGATCGGCCTGCTGGACAAAATACGTGGCGGTATGAGTAGTCATGAGGACTGTAACACCATGCCGCTTGGCTATACCGGAGGAGCCGAAAACAGATCCAGCAATATGTCTGAGGGAGTTGATGTCCAGCCCGCTGAAGATGTCATCCAGCACCAAAACAGGGATCCGCGAATAGAGCGCTCTTGCGAGGGCAAGACGTTGCTTCTGCCCGCCACTCAGTGACATGCCTTTATTACCCACCGCTGTCTGCTCTCCAGCCGGAAATCGGCCAATGTCGATCGATAATGCGCATGCGCTCACAATCGTGCTGTACCAAATCGGGTCATAGTCGGACTCTCCAATGATGATGTTCCGGATCGAATCGTTGGGCAGCCAGGGTTCTTGAGAGCAGAACGCGAATGAGTGGAAGTCCCTCGAGACGGTACGACTGCCAGTACTCAGCTTCACGTCGCCGACGATAGCGCGAAGTAGTGTCGACTTCCCGCTTCCAACCGGTCCAAGTACGAGGGTGAAAGATCCTTCTTTCAGATCCAGGGAGATATCCTGAAGGGTGGGGCGTTGAGGGTTGCCACCAGCGTATACTGTCGCATCGGTCAGACTTACGCCATTTGGAACCCTGACCGTCATCTCAATGAATGTGGAAGCGCTGTTTAGATCTAACGAGGGCTCAGCGTTATCGTCATTTTCGCTAAGAAGGAAGGCCTGAATGCGCAAAAGACTTGTGTGAGCCAGCTGGAGGTCAATGATGGCCCATACCACCTCTTGTATCGGCGCGGACAGAAGCGAGACCAACGACAAAGTACTGAACGCTACACTTGGAGTCAGCTTATCACCGCCATTGATCAGGGTAAACATCATTAGAGTAAGAGTTGGCCCCAAGGCATTGGGCACTGAAGCAAGTGTTTCCCTGACTGCGACGAACTTCCGATACCCGGCATAGTCAGCAAGCTCCTTGACTCTCAGTGCTTGAATCCGTTGAGACAGGAACTCGGTCAACCCCAGCATCTTGAAGCCTTTGGAGCAACTGAGTACAGCAGTTGTGTATGCAACACGTCCTTGAATGGCATCGAGCCAGATCCTTTGCATCGGTAGGCCTCGCTTACTATTGAGGGCACTGATGATGGGCACTGCCACTCCCACTGCGATTGGGGCAATGCAAGAAACACCACTTTGACGAGCTAACAATGCTGCGACACCCACGATTTCGAACGGGGCAGCAAACATCTCTCCGACTCGCTGCAAGCTCATGCCAATGCGCAACACGTCGGTGCTTACTAGCGTGAGCATATTACCATCCGAGAGCTGGGTGTTGGAAAGGGCCAAGCTCTGCGAATGCAATGCGGAGATGAAAATCCCGCGCAGCGTAGTGAGAAATCGGTCGGCCTGCCTTCTGTACGTCACAGTCAAGAGGGCCATGACCAGGTAGATTAGCATCGTCGCGGCAATCAAGCCTTTTCCGGTATCATGATCTCGCGAGTCATCTCCGAGCCATTTCGTTATTCTGTCAATCAGAAGAGGCTGGGTGAGCTTCATAGCGCTAAGGCAGAGACGTGGCAATATAGTCGCAAGTAGACTCCACTTGGTTGTCAGTACCATCGCTCGCAAGAGAGGGCGCCTCTTGATGTTGTATTGGCCTATTCATCTCGTCAGAAGCAGGCCTAAAGGATATGAAAGCCTGGCTTACGGAAGCGTGACCAATACTGCATGAATCGCTCTTCCACTGATTCAGACCGCAGACTTTCATCGATACCGTACAAATCCTCGAACTTAATGTTCTTTCGATACGCGAGGAGAAAGAGCGGGCCAAGCCACCACAGTATCGTTCGGTCGAAAATATTTGCGAGTGCCTCCGGCGAGTAGGCTTGATATGGTGGAAGCAGCCATGGTCTCTTGGATCGTGCTTCGAGAAAGAGTATGACAATCTTGATGGCCAGGCAAGCAGTAAAAGTGGCCGCGACGGCGGTGTCTGAGCGATGACGCAGCCATAAGGTACGAGCCTGTGGAATGTCCAGGATAATCGAGATGAGGATGAAGACGCTAATGATGTCGCTGGGTCTCGCTGAGCGCGTGTGCTCAACGGAAGAAAGCCAAAGGAGGCCCAAGCAAGCGAGAAAAGACAAGCTTGCCGCTGCCACAGCGATGCGACTAGTATCCTTTGCAAGGGCCCAGGAAACCAAGAGAGCGCACTGGCTCAGAGCCAGGAACGATATGATGGCTTGCTTGCCAAGGCGCGTCCATGATCTCTCGCACTTCGGTTTTTGTCTTCGCAATTGAGAGGCTCGTATTGGGAGAGCGAGGAGTAGTAGAGCACATGGCGCAATCTGAAAAAGACTTTGTTCGAAGACTAGTGTGAAGTCGAAGTCGTCGCAATACTGAGTGCCGAAGCTATCGTCAGAGACGAGAGAGCAATTCATGATAAAGTCCGCGTACTTGGCAATGACTATGCAAAGACAAAAGTTGAGGAACCACGCGCGATAGTCTGCGGATCAAAACAGCACGTAGAATTAACGCGTTAAACTAGTTAGAGATAATGGTAGGGCAATACCGCAACAGCTGCGCGCTATTGCCTGAGCGAGATCCTACACTAGCTGGAAACGATACATACAGATAAGAGAGGGATGAGATGCCTTGATTGGCAAGTCCCAGGCTGCCACTTCATGGCGGACTTACCAACGGAGATAAACACCGGCTCAATGGCGATTCGTCTCTAGTCTTCCAGAACAATGTATCTGGCGATCTGGTCTCAATATGCATCCGCTGTCGTCTCATACCGTACTGCTTGACATTGATCTTTGCAGTTGTCTCTACTAGTAGTAGTTCCGACGATCTTACGGGAACGAGTAGTACACAACTCTCTTGCAATGACTCAATTCTGTCTCGTTCTTCGCGTGTACGGTAATTGCTCTGAAAGCCAATGTTGTATCTTGGGCGCATCAGCCCAGTGGTATTGGTGATACGGGCAGGAATGACGACATGGGTGTCACAGAACGGCGGCCTAATCCCAATCGCGTGGTGCGGGGTAGGCTACGCAGGCAACCGCCATTAGAGACAGTCTGTTCCTCCATATAAAGAACGGCACACCTAAGTTGGTCACTGAACGACAGAACTAGGAATATCGGATCATTCCATTCACTTAGCCATATCACACAACGCGTCGACTCGATCTCGGAACGATCGCGAACTCGTCTTTCTTGTCAGCGACCGCATCCTACTTAGTGCTGTTTCTGGTAGCTATCGCGTCGTCTACCTAGGTACTGAGACGTGCGCCCGGTGACCACCACCCCTACAACGGTAGCTGGTCTCATGCAGTCACATCCTTTTGGCATGGATGTGCCTTAGCTAAAAGTCAATTCACTTCATTTTCAACACACGATACGCACATGTAAGTAGGCACAAACATGTCTGCTATTTGTGATCAACTGGTGTCTACTAATGCCACAAGCTCTGCTCTTTGTTGAACACCAATACCAGATGCTGCGGTCTATTTGTCTTCAACTCAGAGTCTGACAATGTGCAGCTTCTCTAAAGCTAACCACTTCCGTGTAGATCTAAAAACATGGAACTTGTACCGCGTTCTTCGCCATCTCCGCCGAAGAATGAAGGATCCTTATGCGCTGGTTGCCAGGAAGTTTTTATACAGCCGGATAAGGCTGTGATACGCGAGGGGCGCACTATCGTGCTGTCGGCAGAACGTGGCTGTCCTTTATGCAATGCGTTCGCCTGGCATTTGCCCTTCAGCCAGAGCGGAGTAGACTCATGTTGGGAAATGTTCCTAGATTTCGGTAGGAATGAGAACGAACCTCGGAGCATTGGCATGAAAGAGAGCGGTGAGAACTTATTGTGGTCAATGATCTACGAATTGACGCTTCTACCGACAACTTACTACAGCAGTCCGGCTCAACCTTATCAACGAGTAAGTTTTCAAGATGGTCGAAGCAATCCATCTCCTACCCAACTTACTTTGCCTGTTCTACCCGGTAGCACCAGCGACCGACGATGCATGGCCCAGGCTTCCGCGTGGCTCAGAGAGTGTTTGGAAAACCACAAGCGCTGCAATCGACTTTCCGATATCCAGACGGCAGCAACAATACCATCGCGCTTGCTTGCGGTTAGTCCGCTAAAAGTGAAGATCGTAGCCACGTCACATACGTGGATCCAGAAAGCCCCTGTGTATATGACTGTTAGTCACAAATGGCGGAGTCAAATGCCGAAGCTGCTGCGGTGTAATGTCAAGAAGCTGGAGTGGGATATGAACGTGTCCGAGCTGCCCCAGCTATTCCAGGACGCCTTTGATTTGGCTAGAGCGTTACAAATACCGTATGTCTGGATTGATGCTCTGTGCATCATACAAGATGATGAGGCTGACAAGACATCCGAAATATCCAAGATGGATCACATCTATCAGAATGCCTTCCTCAACGTTGGCGCCACTGGAGCCGCCGATACTGTATGGCCACCAGCAGACAGCGACTCGTCGTCTGACAGTGTGGTCGAGGGCAAGGTCGAAAATGAGGTGCGCGAAGATAGCAATGTCGATTACATTCCCGATGTCACAAACAGTTGGCGTTTGAAAGATCGAGACATCGCTTCACAAGACTCGCGTACGAGCCCAACTCTTTACTTACCACGCTTCGCTCATAAACGACTACAAGGACTGATTCCAGGCTTGTTCGCAGACAGAGAGCCCCTGTATTATTCCCCATTCGCTGTGACAGTCAAGCGAAAAGGCAAAGAGTATAATTGTATGGTCTATGATGAGTGTCATGCGGATGACTTCCAGAACAGCGCTCTCTTCAAGCGTGGGTGGGTGTTACAGGAACGACTGCTCAGTCCTAGAACGCTTTTCTTTGGCCAACAGATGGTCTGGGAATGTTCCGAACTAGTAGCATGCGAAACATTTCCATTCGGATTTCCACTGGGTCATCTTATGACACACAATGTTCGCTTAGGCAAGATCCTTGTCGAGTGCAATGAGGGTTCCAGGCAATCTGCGCAATACACAGCTTGGCGAGAAATCGTCAAATCATTCACTAGGTGTCAGCTCACATACGATTTGGATTGTTTCCCTGCCCTATCAGGTCTTGCACACAATTTCCAGGCTTCCCTTCAGGATGAGTACTATGCTGGACTATGGAAGGACGACTTCATCCCAGGCTTATGCTGGTTTCGTGACGACCAAAAGTTTGGTCGATCACGATATCCTCCGTTCCCTAGCGACTATCGAGGCAAGTTTTCCGTCCATAATCCAGCTTTTGCGACACCTCTAATGTAATCAGCACCATCGTGGTCCTGGGCCTCTGTGAAATTTCCCATTGGTTTCATCGATAACAACGAGCTTATGGGCGATGCAAACGCTGAGTATACAGCTATTGGGCGGCTTGAAGAAATTGACGTTACACCGTCTGGCTCTGACCCTTTTGGCTGCATCTCATCCGCTCGTCTCCAGATGTCCGGCCATCTCCGCAAAGCAATCCGACAGGCATCAGAACGCAACGTTAGACGCATGCCTTCCTATTCATGCGACGATCAAGGTGTGCAATACGAGTGGTTTGACACCGGACATGACGCGGAGAAGCTCAATATCCGAGACATGAGCACTGCTTACTTCCTTCTGCTTGCGCATCGAGAACGAGCGTGGGTGCTAGACATTAGCAACAACTTCGTTCAGACTGAAAAGCTCACAGGCATCATTGTCGAGCCCGTTGACGAAGACAGAACAACATGGCGCAGAATCGGTTTGTTCGATCATCCTCGTGGTGACGGGTGGATGGAGCGGGACTACAGTCCAGGCTATCCTGAATTTGACGACTGGGACCCAGAAAACTATGAGAGGCATACAATCACAATCATCTAGTGTAGCACAACAAGATGTTAGGCAGAGGCAGGAGGTATTCAACCCGCAATTAGTAGAATAGAAGAGCAAAGCAAGTAGTAATAAGTAATTAGAGTTGTATTCTTACCTAAAGAAGCTACCCTCTACCTTAAAGAGCTTTTAGAGTACTTATCCTTCTCCTAATCATGTGATCTGATCAGGTGACCGATTGCTACACCACACTAGGCATGGTGCTTTCGCGCATCATTCGATAGCAGACTGATGTGACTATGAACACTTTTGCCATTCCACAATGCAAACATGCTAAACTACATCGATATTAACCCGCCTTTTCCCCAAACGCCTTGACCATGCTTCAAAACACATGCACTCATAGTAACGTACAAGCAAGCAAGCCCAACGACGCCTAATCGCTACTCCGCCTATGCTTCTTACTCTTCTTCTCCTTCTTCTTCGGCGACTCTTGCACGACCTCTTCCTCCTCAACAGCATCCACATCCTGCATCTCCACGTCATTCATCTGGACATCGCCATCAACGTCCTCATCCTCCTCTTCTTCGTCCTCATCCTCAGATTCAGAGTCGGAATCGCGCTTCTCACGGATACCATTGGAGATAGCTTCGTTGACTTCCTCCGCAACGTTCTTGAGCGGATCCCTGATCTTGACCGGTGCAAGCACGTCGAACGCACCCGTACCGATACCGCCCAGTCTACCGACAACAATGCGGGCGCTGGGGTTCTTGAGCTCGTCCCAGTCGCGCTCCATGACGGCGTCCTTGAGGAAACCGACAGTGGTTTCGAAACTCATCTTCATGAAGGGGCTGACGTTGCCCTTCATGCCGATGCGGTTGAAAGGTGTGAAGCCACCGCCCTTGGTCATGGTGTCGGCGATGAGGTTGAGATGGCGTTGGTCGACGGAGATACCGTGACCGGAGAAGACGCCGTGCATTTCTTTGACGATGGTCGCGCGGGCGGCTTCCACACCGTAGAGGTGCAGCATGGCTACGATGTCGTTGGTCATGGTGCGGTTCACGTCGATGATGTGGGCGTACTCGCGCATGGCGATCAGGTTGGAGCCTTCGGTGTTAATGACACCATCTGCATCTGAGTATTGAGCGGCTGTGATACCGGGGATGACGTGGATGGTGGCGAAGTTGGCAGCGTCTTCTACGTGGTGCAGCATGAGCAGCTTGGGAGTCGATGTCTCGAACTCAAACGTGATCTCGCAGAAAGATCCCTTGCGGTCGTCAAAGGTGAAGTCGAGGATGTGTTCGTTGTCGTGGCAGATGCGGTCGTGGCGGATATCCGAGGATTCGTCAGTGGGTACGAGTGTACCCTCGTCCTCGTCGTCAGAATTGAGTTCCGGGGTAGCTGCGCGCGAGGGCTTGGGGCTGCCACCGTAGGTCTCGTCCTCGTCGTTGATCTCGTCTTCTCGATCAAGGTTGTCGTTAACTGCCTGTTCCTCCTCTTCTGGCTCTTCGTAAGCCACGCTGTCTTCACGTCGGCCTCGGTCCTTGGCGTGAGTGGTGTCGTTGTCACCCTCGCCGTCGTCACTGTCATCGTCCTCTGCACCGCCTTCCCGTCCCGCGCGGAAGGTCTCCTCTGACTCGTCAACTGTTTGCTCTCCGCTTCTACCAGTCTTCTCGCCGATAGTTGGGATGGCAGCCGACTTCGCCGTTGACAAGGATTTGTTCGCAGCCTTCTTCTTGAGGTCGGCCTTGATGATCTTCTGGAGACGCGGGCAGAACTTCTGCTCGATGGACTCGGCAACGTCGCGAACCTTGATAGCGTACTCCTTGGTGTACTCCTTCGCCGGGTAGAAGTCCAGGCGGATCTTGTAGCTCCTGGCCTGATTATGTTCGCGACCGGGACCAGTGGTCTCAGTCACAGTGACCTTGTCGAGCACAGCCGAGAGTGGCAGACGACTGATACTCTTGGCGAATTTGTCGTTGTCTGATTTGGAAAGCTCGGGATGGGGATATAGTTGCATCGACGGGGTAGAGATGTTCGCACTAGCAGTCATGACGATTTCTCGTAGACGGGGAATACCGAGTGTGACGTTCTTCGCAGAGTGACCAGCCAAATGGAAAGTGTTCAGCGTCATCTGTGTTGAGGGTTCACCAATAGATTGGCCAGCAACGACACCGACAGCCTCGCCAGGCTCGACCAGGGACCGCAGGTACTTGAGGTCAAGCATTTGCTCAAAGGTACGCTTGAGGATCTCGCCCTCCTCGTCCTTCTTCTTGTTCTTGAGCAGCTTGTCGGGGTTTTGATCACAGTACTATGATTGTTAGCATCTAACAGTCAATTAGAACGAAGTAACTTACGTCGCGCTTAGCCTGCAAGAACAGTTCTGAAGTACTACCACTATGTCTCGATGGCGTGTAAACTGCAGTAACAGGGTCCATTGCAGCCACATCACCCTTCCTAGCCTTCTTCGCCGCCTTCTTGTTGTGCTCAACTGCTTCAGCACTTGAAACCTTCGGGTAGGCTTCAGCAGTGTGGAGGGATTGCGCTAGCGAGTAGAAGTTCTCCGCCTGGAACTTGAAGTCGTTGAGATACTTCTGCTTGGTTGTGTCCAGACCGTCTTCGCCGTACAGGAACTGGACCATGGTACCATCGGAGTCGCGGACAGAGGTGTCGTATTCGACCTTGAGACCTTCCATACCCTTGATGATACATCTTTGCAGATAACCGGAGCGCGAAGTCTTGACAGCCGTATCGATGAGACCTTCTCTACCAGCCATCATATGGAAGTAGTACTCTTGCGGTCGGATACCAGTCAGGAAACGGTTGACGATATAACCACCAGCGCGTACGCTCGTCTCGAAGGGCTTGAAGCACGGCAGTGTCTTACCAGAAATCATCACTGGAACTCTTCGGCCTTCCAGAACTTGTTGACCAAGGTTACATGAAATCTGGTTAGCGTTGACCATACTACCCTTAGCTCCAGAACCTGTCATGGCTTGCATTTGGTTCTTGGGGAATGGCTTAATGAGCTTATCGGGTAAGCAGGCTGAGGTAACCGCAGAGGAAATCTTGCCGTTGGCAGTGTTGGTGAGCAGATCCAGACCGTGCTGCTTGGTGTCGTCTCGTAGCACGGATTCAAGTCGTCGCCGTAATTCCGGGTTCATGGGGTCGATCTTCTCCGCGTCCATAGTGACGTACTTGGAGGCGACCTCGAATCCAACCTTCTCCGCTTTACGGAGCTCTTCCAGCCTGGCACGATCTCCTTCCTCTGTGAGAATCAGATCCTGGACACCGCAAGAGAAGGCGCGCATGTGAAGCATCTTGGTAAGCAGCCGTCCGATGATACTGAGGGCTCGACCAGCAATTGTCTCTCCATAAGCCTCGTATATGCCATTGATAAGACCACCCGCGGCAGGTCCGATTTGACCCTTGTCCATGATACCAGAAAGCAGTTGGCCATCTTTGACAATGACGAACTGCTCCTCGACGTGAACACCCCAAAGTTTGCCATTCGTTGACGATTTGGATGTGAGCGTCAGTTCCTGGTATTCTGCGGGCTTGATGTTCTTCAAAACAGTGGTGATGATTTGCTTTCCCGTCCACATCGGCCTAGGCTTCATGATAGCAGGGTTAACTGTTTCAAGTCTACCTGAGGTGGTATGGCCGTCTTCCGGTCGCAGGCAAGAGTAGAGTAGTTGATGGTACTCTTCTCTTGTGAAGAATGTGTCCTTGTTCGAAAGCCAGACTCCCATGGAGATATGATCTTGAATCAAACCACGCAGAGGCTTTCCAGCAGTCGCAGATAGGTATTGATGATCGGTATCCGCTACCGTCATAGCCTCCGCGCGGGCAAGCTCGTTCTGGGGGAAATGCATGTTCATCTCGTCACCGTCGAAATCGGCATTGTATGTGTTACAGTTGGCGTAGTGCATGCGAATGGTCTTTTCTCCCGGTAATACACGGGCGCGATGTGCCATCATTGACGGCTTGTGCAGTGTCGGCTGTCGGTTCATGATAACAACATCGCCGTTGTTCAGATGACGATGCACCTTCTTATTCCGAGCTCCATTGGAGTATGAATTTGTGGGTGCAAGCAGTTGGTTGGCCAAAGCTAGTCGCTCTTCGTAGTTCTTCTTCTTCAGTGACACAACTTGTCCAAACTCGTTCTCGATGGCATGCGCTCCTGGCCACTTGTCGGGACCGTTCAGGACAGCTTCCTTAAGATCGTAAAAGTTGTGGTTCGTGACAGGCTCTGGGTATGTAAGTTTCATGGCGAACACCGGAGGGACACCGATCTCGTTGGTCTCAATGTTCGGGTCAGGCGAAATAACACTGCGCGCGGCGAAGTTGACACGCTTGCCCATCATGTTCTTTCGGAAGAGACCCTCCTTCTTTTCCAGACCCTGCTTGATACCATCGGCGTTTGTGACTGCAGCGCGGCCTTGCACGGGGTTTGCATCGCGATCGATGAGGGCGTTCACGGCACCCTGGAGGTTGACAAACTGGGTCTGCATGTCGTCGAAGTTACGTTTCCGGTATCCGAGCTCGTTCTCCATGCCTCGCATCTCCTGGCTAATCTGACGGATCGTGTCACATGCTTCGAGAATGCTCTTGTAGAGCTTGTTCCTGGCGGATTCGGCAATAGAGTCGCCCGTCTTATCTTCGGGTCTGTACTTGTTGGGTGGTACGACGATGGCCTGTGTGAAGAACATGTCGGGGTTTACGTCCACGAGAGACTTGGTTCCGTGAGGGCTGTACAGAAGTCGCATCATCTCAGTTTCGCTCTCGAAGAGTAGGGTCATGGCTGCTTTGACCTCTGTCGCGTTGATATACTCTTGCGCACTCTCTGAAACAGCGGATGACGACTTCGCTTTCCGTGCCATGCGGGATTCTGTAGCGAGGAGCGACCCGTCGGCCTGCTGAATATCCTCCATTTCGATGCCCTCGTCCTCGCTCGAGTTGGGATCCAGGTCCGCGACTCCCTCATCCGCGTGTACATGTTGCTTTTTCGCCTTCGCATCTCTGCGAGCCAGGATGTCCAGAGGGTTTTG